CCCTTGAACATTTAGAGCATGTTTGGAAAGCTATCTAGGAATTGGATTTGAGTGTAATTGGGTGTAATTATACAGTTTGACATATTTGTTTGGCCAAGTAATTACTTGGTCAGCATGGAATTGGGTGTAATTGGAGGGGTGTAATTACACTCTCCAATTCTCAAGGGGGAGGTGAGAATTGGTGGTAATTACACTGTGTAATTACAAGGTTATTTTTTATTTTCTTTCCTTTTTATTTTTATTTTAATTTATTTTCTTTATAACTTTTTATTTCTATTATTTTAATTTTTTAAATTTTATTTTTACTTTTTAATTTCTTTTAAAATTTTAAAATATATTTTTCTTTGTACATCATTTATCTTTTATTTCTCTACCTTTACTTCTTGTGATTTCATGTAATTGTTTGTATTTTATTTTTTATTTATTTTATTATTCTAATTTTTGAAACTACACCTCCTAATATTAGAAATAATAAGTCATCAACAAACTTGGCATATAATGAGTGATGCAATTAAAATAAAATTTCGGTGTTGAATGTGGTTATAAACTTATTATGTTTCCTAACCTTAAGTTGTAGTGGAACTTACTATTATTATGTTGAAACTTGATATATGTTAAATATTTTTATTTATTTTTTTGGATTTAAAATTATGTTATATTTGTGGTTCCAATTTACTTGTTTTAGTAGTATTGACTCACATTGTTATTGTTCATTTTTTAGTTAGAATTGATAGATTAATTTTGTCAAACATTTGAATAATTTTATGACATTATATTTATAAATATTATTTTATTTCATCAAATATGAATTCCATGATGTTCTGAAAAAACGTATGTGTTTTTATTTTTGTAAGTGCAATCAAACCTCTCTATAACAGCCTCGTTTGTTCCGAATATTTTTGGATGTTACCGCGAAGTGCTGTTATAGGGAACATATATTATAACATAACATGAAATTTGGTTCCGGAAAAGGTTGGTTGTTATAGTGAAGTGTTGTTATACAGGGATGCTGTTATAGAGAGGTCTGACTGTATCTAAACTAAATATTGTTAATTTGAAGAATATATATGAATTATTTTTACAATATTAGTTATAAATATATGATTACTAATTAATGCATATTCACTATGTACCTTAAATACCAAATATAATATCGTTTATACTTATAAAAATTTTGAGGCATATATTTATTATATTAACTTTTTCGTTTGATAATTACTTCATTTAAAATTTAATCTGTGTAATTACACTTGTGCAATCAAATAGTAAACCTGTAATTACACTATGACAAACAAACAGGTCGTCATAATTACACAACTGTATAATTACTAGACTATGTAATTACTACCCTAGTAATTACACCAATTTCAATTATCTTACGGCTTTCCAGACCCTTAGTAATTCATACACATACTTGTTTAATTGCTCAAAGTGCATGTAAATATCTGCCTCTATAAATTGCGTTTCAGATCACTTGCATTATGTAGGGAAACACAAAACCGAAAACACTTGAAAGGCAATAGAGTTGATAAGTCTCCCATCTATAACTTACTACATAACAAGTTCTCGACATGGCTTCATTCCATAGCTTGAAGACTTTGGCCATTGTTGTTCTTACAATTTCCTCCTTTGTGCAAGTCGCTCTAGGTCAGTCTTCCTTTCCTAATTAATGTAGTAACACATGGTATTTATTTATCTATGCACTAGATAACGGGTTTCTATTAAATCTATCAGTAAAAAAGAGTAATACTTCTGTTATATCGCAAGGGTCAACTGAACTTAGTAAACTTTTCTGATCCATAAGTACATATGCGAATGATTTTATATGTGTAAACATAGTGCGAGTATAAATGCAGGGGATATAGCATGCGAGAACTTAAACGAAGACTCATGTGCATTCGCAATATCAAGCAATGGGAAGCGTTGCGTGCTAGAAAAACATCTGCGAAGGAGTGGTGAAGAAGAATATATATGCCGCACATCAGAAATAGAGGCTGATAATAAGCTCAAAGATTGGATTGAAAGCGATGAATGCATTGAGGCATGCGGCGTCGATAGAAACTCCCTCGGCATTTCTTCCGACGAACTCCTAGAATCTCGCTTTACTAACAAGCTTTGCTCCCCTGCCTGCTACAAACACTGCCCTAACATTGTTGACCTCTACTTCAACCTTGCCGCTGGTGAAGGTAATATTCGATATGATCTTATATACTATCAGTAAAAGTAATAGCAAGTTAGATATCATTTTTATCGGGTGACAAGCTAATACTTTATTATTATAAAAGTTTAAATTAATGTAATGGNATATATATATATATATATATATATATATATATATATATATATATATGGGGTCTGATTGTGTGAATATTTTATACACGTTTAATGAATTGAACTTAAGCTATTATGAAAGTTCTTTCTTATTATAATGACAAGTGCTTCTTTTGAAAAATCTCATCTCTATTTTGTTCAGTTTTCGAACTTGGTTTTGCCTGTGCTATGTTATTAATGGGTGTGTCTTTGATTGGACATAGGTGTATATCTTCCCAAGTTGTGCGCAGAACAAGGGAAAAGTGCAAGGCGAGAAATAGCGGAGATCAGAAGCTCGGGATTGGTGGCGCCAGCTCCGGAATCAGAAGTCAAGCCCAGCAATTTCATGATTGCTCGGGCAATGCCTCCTTTCTAAATTCGATAAAGATTAAATATATTCAGCTCTACAAGTATACAATGGTCTTTAGTTGTATTGTAGTATGAAAATAAGGACTCTGGGCAGGCCCAGTTAATATTACATTTGAATCTAGGTATGGTTTGTTAGTTGTTACATTTCAGTATAAGCATATACAATATTTATAAGGTAGGTGGAGAAATGCCTCAGAGATACAATGGCATTCCCCCTGTCCAGCCCATTTTCCTCTATTTTTGTAATGGAGTATGAATATACTACTTAATAGCGCTTAAATAGTGCTTTTCTATGAAGTGGAGTACTTTCTTGGTCCGAATATATCTAATATATTTCTTGTTGTGCAAAAAGTTAATCTTCTTGTTGTGCGAAACATTGCTTGAAAATTAATCTTGAAGCCGTTAGTTCTTGGATCACACTGTGTATTTTTCTCTTGAAAAGAAGTATTAAGTGTTGTGCATCTTTAAGGCAGATTAACGACTACTCTAACCGGTTAAACATCGTTCTTAATTAAGAGGCTAGTACATGATCGAAGATCCAAATCTACAGAACAATCAAGAAAGCTAACATTCCCATTGCTTGACTGGGTAATAGTAATAGACGTCGGAATAATTAAACGCTTTTGGGGTGAATCCATGTCCCATTTCCTCACCAAGAGAATGGTAGGTGTCATTTGTCAAGTCAAGCCTCTAGTGGTGGAAGTTTTGAACTCAATGAAACATGGGCCGACTACTATATCAGATCCAATAGGGAGAAATTCAAAAATTGCCAGAATTACAAGTGGTCATTCAAAAATAGCCACAGTTTCAAAAGTAATCGAAATTTAGCCACTTTTCAGGTAAAGATAAATCTTAACGAAAACACTGTTCAAAATCCAGAAAAAATACTCCAGTATAATATAGAAGAAATTACACTCTATGTCACTTGGGCCCAGTCCACTCAAAAATAGCCCATATTTTGAGGCCTTTACCTGGCATAGCCCATGTGGGCTAACTTATGAAATTTTATTTTCACCAGTAGCCCACACCTTAACATAACCGTTTTAATATTTTAAATTATAATTTCTCTGTTGCTCTCTTCCTCACGCTTTTCTCACTCTCTCTTCCTCTCGATTTTCTCATACCATAACCGACTCCATTGTTGTGTGCAAGTTGCTTTTCGAGGTTTCAATCTTAGTTTGAGGTAATTTTCGTTTCATTTTATGCTTTTCCTACAGTGTTGGTTTTGAATTTTTTTTTTTTGATTTTTCTTTTTGCTTTTTCTGATTACGCCAATTTTTTTCAATGTTGCTGTGTTTTTTCGGATGATTTTGTGTTCCTTGTTTCTGCGTTCGAGACTTAAACTTGATGAAACGAAATGCATGGTTTGTTATTTCGACTTTTAGGGTAGAATTTTTGGTTTTTTGAGTTTTGTTAAAATTTGGGAAAATTGGCCTCTGCTTTGAGTTTATGGCTTTTATTTTTGTTTAGATTTTGAGTTTTGTTACAGTTTTATTTGTTTGTTGTCCTTCAGTTGTCTTCACTTTTGTTAAAGCTTTGTTTTGGCCTCTGCTTTGTGTTTATGGCATTTTGGGTTAACTTTTGAGTTTTGTTACAGTGTGAGTTTTGTGTTTGCTTTAACTTTTGTGTTTGTATTGTTAAAGCTTTGTTTGTTTGGTTTATTGTAGAAAATGCATTCAAAAATGGCTGCTTCTAAAAGCAAACTGAAGATTGACGGAAAAGGCGTTAGGTTAGATTATGCGAAACGATTGAGGGAGTCGCCCTCAAGCCCTGATTCAGAATCTAATGTAAATGCCCCGGCGCCAGAAGTTGATGATTTTGATTCTGCTGCTCCTCCTAAAAACTTGCAACCAGAGAGCAGTCGGATGACTCGTTCTCAAATGAGCAATACTCCCACTCCAGTTAAATCTTCGAGTGACTTGCCCTCGCCCTCTTCTTCTGAAGCGAATAAGCATGTGCAGGCTGCCGATGATGATGATTTTGAGTCTCCTCCTCCTCCAAAAATGTTGCAACAAGGGAGCAGTCGAATGACTCGTTCCCAAACAAGTAATAGTCCTACTCCGGTTAACATCGTTAGACTAAGGAGTAAGAAATGCGGCAGACCTGCAAAATCAACAGATAAGCTGAAAGATGATTTGTTTAATGAAGATGATGTAGTCCGCAATGTTAAACGGAAAAGGAGAAAGATGAAGGATGATGGTGAGAGTTGCCT